ATGTATTTTTTTTTCATTTTATCTGACTTTAAAATTCCTGAAATATACTAATTCTATAAAAACATGTTTTAAATAATTCATTACTTTGAAGGGCCAGAGGGAAGGAAACTTTTTTTTTTTTATTGATTTTTTACAGAGAGGAAGGGAGAGAGATAGAGAGCTAGAAACATCGATGAGAGAGAGACATCGATCAGCTGCCTCCTGCACATCTCCCACTGGGGATGCGCCCGCAACCCAGGTACATGCCCTTGACCGGAATCGAACCTGGGACCTTTCAGTCCGCAGGCCGATGCTTTATCCACTGAGCCAAACCGGTTTCGGCAGGAAACTTTCTACTGACTAGAGACCCCTTGGTCCAAAATATCCCAGAGCTGTGACAGCAGCAGGAAGGAGGGGCATGGAAGACTGAAGCATTGAGAGCAGCTTATCTTGTTCAGCAGTTTGAACAGAGGAGCTGTTTGATTTAGAGGAGCCAACAATCTTGGGGTTTAATTAGCAGCTGCTTCTGCTAAACTGTGGAAGGCCTCAGCGAAGGAGCAGACCTTTCTCTTGTCCTTACAAATACCTCGACCACATTTAGAACCTAAGGCTTTATTGCCTGAAGAGTGACTCCTTCTAGGAGACCAAAGGGACACCAGCAATACTGGGGGCATTGTGTTCAGGAGGACGTCAGCAATGGGTCCCGAAGTTAATAAGCCACTCATTGAATTTCCTCCTCAACCCACAGGCTCTAACTTCCCAGGATGGACAAAAATGATGGCACACAGTAAACCTAGCAAGCTCAGGGAGCCTGGCATGGCATGGGCAATCTTGCAAACTCGGAGGCTAAAAGTAACCATATAGGATGCTTTGAAGTTAAAACTTTCCAAGTAAAGTCTACTCACCGGGGTATTTATGTACTAGCCTGTTGTTTGTTTGTTTTTGCAGAAAACAAATTTTGCCTTATTGAGCCTGTCTGTTATCCTTTTGCATCTGGGATAACATACCTTTGCATTTTCAGGGCCATTTCTGTTACACAGAATCCTAAGCACACAATCTCTGAACACAGAAGATCACAGAGCCCCAATTATTATTGCTCTCCCAGGGTAAATAGTAACTGTTAACTAATCGATGAACTTATAAAAATAAGTTTGTGTCCATTTTTTTTTTTACTTTTTATCCAATCCCAGAGATTTCCCTCCTTAGCTCTCCCCCCTAATTTATCACCAGTTAATTTCATTTCACCCCCTTAGAGTCGAATGTATAAAAACGGTGCAAAACTGACATTCTCCCGAACATTACTCAACCTGTTGTTATTTTCCATCCTGGCAACTGTCACTGACTAGGGTCAAATATACTTAGAAAAATTCTCCACAGGTTTGGACATTTCTGGCAACACCACCAAAAGCAATTGACTCATGTGAAGCAGAAGGTTACATGGAGGGGTATCAGCATTTCCAGGGACTCAACTGACGGAAGACAGATTTATAAACACAAATGTAGAACAGACCCAGAACCCAGCAAGCTAGAGCTCTCCCCTTGCTTTCAGAGAACAGAAGAAAATGCTCAAGGCGCAGGTGAATTTGTTTTCATTGTGTGTGTGCATGTTTTTAATCCTTACCTGAGGATGTTTCTTTTTACCCTCCCCAACTTTTCTTCTGAGATTCTGCAGTAATTTCCATGCTTCCATGTTTACGAATCCACTCCATCAGTTTTTGTTCATTATATTCCAAATGTGAGTGCAATCAAGTGATACTGTCTTCTCTGACTGACTCATTTCACGTAGCTTGATGCTCTCTAGGTCCCTCCAATACTGTGTAACAGGGTATGAGATTCTTCTTTTTTAATGCTGCATGGTATTCCATGGTGTAAATATACCACAGTTTTTTATCCCCTCATCTACTAATGGGTACCTAGGCAGTTTTCCAGAACTTTCCTACTGTAAATAGTGCTGCTGTGAAAAGAGGGGTGCAAACTTTCTATCTGATTGTTTCAGGTGTCTTAGGATATATTCCTAGAAGTAGAATCACTGGATCAAAGGGCAGTTCCATACTAAATATTCTGCAAAAACTCCAAACTGATTTCCATAATGGCTGTAGCAGTTTGAATTCCCACCAGCAGTGACATGGATTCCCTTTTTTCCACATCCTCCCCAGCAGTTGTGCTTTGTTTATTTTTTTAAATATATTTTTTATTGACTTTTTTACAGAGAGGAAGGAAGAGGGATAGAGAGTTAGAAACATTCATGAGAGAGAAACATCAACCAGCTGCCTCCTGCACACTCCCTACTGGGGATGTGCCAGTGACCGGAATCGAACCTGGGACCCTTCAGTCCACAGGCCAATGCTCTAGCCACTGTGCCAAACTGGTCAGGGCATGCTTTCTTTATTTACTGAAGACAACCATTCTAGCAGTGGTGAGGTGATACCTAATTGCTGCTTTAATTTGCATATCTGTGATGATCAGTCACTTTGAGCGTTTTTTTCACATGTCTCCTGGACATCTTATCCACACTGCAGCCCAGGCAGAGCTGACACTTCCGGTGGCATCAGCAGGAGATGCTCTTAAGTATGAGTGTCTGTTTTGTGACATAAACTTTGTATAATGAATTCAAATGGAGGCAGGTTCAGGCAGTTAGAGACTTGAGCAACCTCCTCCAGCTACATATGGTCTGAAGGAGACACATGCCAAAGGTCCTGAATGAAGAAACAATGCCTGCCATTCAGAAAGAGGAGGTCCTGTAAGAAAGATATGCAAAACCAGCCCCACAGGTGCTGGAGAAAGAAACTTGCCCCAGAGATCCCCTCCACTGAAGGCGCTAGAGGACCAGTAGTATACTTGGTGTATTTTGGGCTATTTGCCCCTGAATCCAGTCCTTTTGTCAACTGAGAAATACAGAATCCTGGCCTTGGAACGTAGAAACTACATTACCCACAAGGCCACGCATGGAAGCTACCAGGCTGAGCCAATGGGGACTCAGATAAGGCATTTCCTTTTGGCCGCATCTGTAGGGCGGGACCAGTAGTCCTCTTGGATGGTTTTGTCTTCTCAAATTTTTGTCTTAGTCGCTCAGGATTTTCTGGTCGCACAGTCCTGGGGAGAAGGCTGGGGAGTGGTGCCCCCCGCCTCACAGCCAATGGTCGGAGCCTCCAGTGGTGTCACAGCTCCCACTTGGGATTGAGGGTCGGAGTCACCGCCCGGACCCACGCCAGGGCCGGGACAGGGACCGCCATTCCTGCAGCGGCTTCTACTCCCGCGCGGCTCAGCCCACAGAGGGCAATGGCGGCGCCCCCGCTGAGGAGACGGGCTGAGGTGAGTTCTTGTCTCCCGAGGCCTCCCCCGCCTCCTTAGGCTGATGTGGACAAACCCGGGTGTGGCCCATTGTTACGTCCTGCAGCTCAGTCCCGCGTGGAGGACCGTGAGGAAGGTGGAGGGGGGAGAGGGGGGTTGTGG